CCCCCCCCCCCCCCCCCCCTTTGGTTGAGTTGACTGCAATCGGCAGCTGAACTGTTTGTTGAAAGTCGTCACCCGAGTAGAACGGCTGGTCAATTGACTGTATCTCTTCTAACTTCCAGTCTAGATACAGCAAAAATGTTCGGGCATTCCGTTCTGGTGAAAACGGTAGACGTTAATGCGTGGACGGGCTTTTGAATGTACACCGCCACTTATTTGAACAATCAGAAAGGGCGGCTTTTTTTTTTTCGTTTTTTTTTTTTCCTCCTAATTTTTTGTTTTTATTAAAAAGGGCGATGGCCTTGAGGTATTATCATCGGACTAAACAGCCCAGGTAAATTCAATATTGTGTCTAATCTGACATCCGGTGGCCTTGATTGACTTCAGGGAACCCCCAACGTGGGACACCACCCAGGGGACAGCCGGTAGCAGAGGGACTGAGCATCATCTGAGTGGCCAGTCGCTGTGCCTCCCCGATTATCCCTCCTCCCTATGAACATCAGCAGAGACTGCGTTTTAATGTCAATTGGGGGGACCAACGGGCTATGTCTAGGTGGCGGGCGCCAAGCATGCCCAGGAAGGTACATGCAGCCAATGGGATTGGACCCAAGACCTGAATGACACTTGCATGCCTTACCAACTGAGCTAGGCCGCTGGATTTTCTCCTAATTTTCAAGAGGCAGGCAGGGGCTTCTTTTTTTTATTATTTTTTTTTTTATTTTTTTTTTATATTGAGAAAACTCTAATTTTGAAAAAGAAGGATGATGGTAGGTTGTCCCCATTCTGCAAATTTCGTCAGTAAAAAGTGAAGTGTTTTTTTCTTTTTTTTTCAAGTATAAACGATGTGAGTGGGTGGTAGGGATGGCGCCACGAGCACGCCCAGGGCGGCTCGGTCTCTTGGTGGGGAGCAGCACCTGCTGGAGAGCGGGTCCAGTGTCCCTGTACGGTTAACTTAAGATGTTTATTTGATCAGATATGCAGTTGTGATGACAGCCAGCCGAAGGGCACTTCTACGAAAACTGAACTTTGTTAGGCAACACTACGCAGTAGTCGGAGTAGCTTGCGTAACCAAAAGAAATTGATACCATACATTGTACCTTGAAGGCTTGAACAATGAACACGCCTTACAGTTCAGAATCTGTATTCTTTGCTTTTGTTTGTGGAACACGTCGCCTTACAGTTCAGAATCTGTATTCTTTGCTTTTGTTTGCGGAGGCTGTGGGGCTCTATTCTCCCTCAGGGCTGCTAGTGTTACCCTTCCTTTTTGGAGCTCTCTGTATCTACAGGCCCTGCCTCAGTCGGAGAATTGCCCACTGTCGTATTTAGGGGGTACCACGGTACCACCTTGGAGTCTACTTGACCAGGCCAATTCCAGGTATGCACGGCCCCCTATTTGTTATGTCTGCCCCTTCACAAACCCTCCCTAAACCCTCGATCATTCTGCTCTCTGCTAAGGGCCTTATGCTTTTTTGGTCCATTCATTCGATTTGTGTATTCGCATGTTGACATACTGCCTGCTGTACTGAATGAGGACTATTCCCCGCGAACCTCGTGCAGAGTCGGTGCCACCGGTAGTCCTAGTGTCTTGCCTCACCCTGGTTTGACCTATTCCCGTCCTCCTGTGATCCTGTGTACCCAGCTGGACTGCGGCTTGTTCTGTCCGGGACAGAACAAGCCGCAGTCCAGCTGGGTACACAGGATCACAGGAGGACAGGAATAGGTCAAACCAGGGTGAGGCAAGACACTGGGACTACCGGTGGCACCGACTCTGCACAAGGTTCGTGGGGAATAGTCCTCATTCAGTACGTCAGGCAGTATGGGGAATTGTGTCCTGAACCTTTCAAATTGGATCCTTTCCTGCTGAACTCCTGCCTTCTCAGCTATGGTAGGTTCCTGACCCTTCCCCTGCTCATGTCCTTCGACGATTTCCCTTCTCTGACAGGAGTGTCCTTCTGTGCTGTTTCTCTTCCAGTGTTGGCCTCCCGCATAATGGACTCCTGTTGAGATGTCCCGTGGGCTACAGTTTTGCATGTCCATATCTTCACCTGGCCAGGCCTCGGCTGCCGTTGCTGTTCCATGGGGTATTGGAGGGGGGCGGGGTGTGAGGGGAAATTTGGGTGTAGGAGCGATAAGTTGTGGGGCTGTGAGGGAGGGGGCTCTTGTTTGGGGGGGGAAGTGCAAAGCTGGAGTGCAGAGTCCGGTGTGAGGGGTGTTTGCAGCTTAGCGATGTACCTATGGGAGTGGAGGGAGTGGAGGAAGTGGGGGTTCTGTGGTGGGTCTTGAGGGAGTGGAGGGGGTGTCAGGGAGAGTGATTGAATGGGAGGAGATGTGTGGGGGGTGTGGAAGTTGGTG